ACCACAGGAAGCCCATGTAAACGATCGCTGATCGTCTAGTTCATAAAGATATAATACAAAACACATAATACAATAGAACGAGAGACAATGGAATACAATACATTTTATGAATACATTACATCAACTGCGTGCCACGTAGGTCACCCCTTTCACTACCCGAGGCTCTCTGTGTCTCCTCAGGCCTCAGTACTAGTCACCAGGCATTCTACTCTGGGACAGGTAGCGAGGAACGCCTGGGGAATTTGCTGAAAGGCCTTCCTAGCTCTTACTCCACATACCTGCCTAATCCACGAGTTTACTTCCGAACACTACTACGCATGAACTACTGGCCAAATTTCTAAAACTGCAATTCAAAACAACAAATTCAATTTGCGCAAGAGTCTTGCGCAAATACTTTATCAGAAAAGAGAGCACGAGAAAATGTCGTTAGTACAAGAGACATGAAAATTTGCACGATTTTCCCCGTTGAGACTAACCCTGCATTCCCCATAAGACATAGGATTTCTGGGAATACAGTTTTAGCCTCAACTCGGAAAAATATAAATTGTTAGCGCTATTGTAATAACGACATTTTCTCGTGCTTTCTTTTGTGTTTTGTAAGGTCTTTGCGTGTAAGAGAATCTGCTGTCAAATTAAACAGCGGTTATTCCCTTTGAACWTTCGAAAATGGAGCCTTGTGYATGTGGGCAAGAAGGCAGCCAATCTCGCTCCAGAGCTCTGTTTAGAGGAACWTGGGCTCTGGAGCGAGATTGGAAGCCAACTAAATGTGTCAGTCCCCACTCATACAAAACAGACCAGATGCAAACCCAAACCCCCCAAAACTGAGGCTATCGTTGGTTATGACTTTGCCTTAGATGAGGATGATAAAATCGTGATCGTGACAAGGTTCTTTTTACGAACTTCCTGTAAATTTTAGCGACTTTAGGACTGGTTAGTCTTGCATTTCGATGAAGCCAAACTAGACGCTCTTAGAGCGCTTACTCAGGTGCGCTGCATTGCAGAATAGTCGCGTGGGTTAGTCGAGTTCCATGGCTGATAAATCAGGGACCGCGGAGCGTGAATTTGTTTGGGGGGGCTAGCGGCGAGGAGGTATTAGGGGGATTCGGAAATTTTTGAAATCTTAACTCTCGAAAATGTCATTTCCACCGTTTTGAGGTGTTATCCAAGACATATTTACTGCACACACGGTCAGCGATATTATCAATAAAATCGCAAAGACTTCATAAGGAGGCTCTTCGCATCTTTATTTAAGAAAATTCAAAATGTCTGAAATATTATTGCTGGGGGGCTGAAGGCCCCCAGCCCCCCTGCTCCGTGGTCCCTGATAAATAAAAGCGTGCGCAGGTCAATCTTTTCTTCTCTCAAGCAATTGTTGGGCTGCCTATGTTAGAGCTCGCTGAAGTGCTAATAAACATGTATGAAATCATGGATCATATAAAGATCTATGGTGAAATTAAACAAAACTGGAAAATACTTTTTTGGATATTTGGCGTGTAGTATTTGAGGAGGTAGGACTGCGCATAGTTTTCCAATAGTCTCCTTCACGGTTACATAAGCCATCTTGAAAGGTAGAGCGTGCAATGATAGAAACCTTTTTTCACACCTAAAGACAATTGTTCACAGGTTTCTATCATTGCACGCTCACCTGTTGTCTCGCTTCGATGTAAAGGCACGGCTACCTTTCAAGATGGCGCAGGCAACCGTGAAGGAGGCTATTTGGTTGCGTGCGCCTTATTCCCTATTGTCCATATAATCGCTCCAGGAGATTGAAGGACATCCCTTCTGGAAACTAGAAAACACTTGGCCATGAGTTTTACTTAGTTATATGACAACGAGGCTTTATTTCTTGCYGTTTATTTCTTATAAATTTGGAGGAGTGAGAGATTGTGTCTGACTTTATGAATCTTATTAAATTTTTATTTTTCGTTTGAAACGCTTTGTACAAGTAGCCCGTTGGCGCGAAAAGAAAAGAAATATACATTTAGATTGCTTCACTTTAAGTGAGATTAAGTAAATCATTTCTAGTTTAAATCGTTCCCCCTATAATTTTAGAAATTTAACTCTTCTGACTAACAAGAATGTTTTTAATCATCATTAGACATGYGTGTTCCCAGTCAGTCCTCAAAAATAGAAATCCCCGTAAATCCCCTAATCATTCAAGGTTTAAGGTCAATTATTCTCGTGGCYTGTAGTCCTTGAAGTCATCAAGTGAAAAACCTCTATTTTTCAATATTGTGCATTAAAATCCCGATGCTCCCGAAAGCTTTCTTATTTGTTCGTACGTCAGCCAGAATGTAAGTGACCAAGGCGCCTGTAAACAAAGAAAACACTTTGAAATAATTTTCTTACGAATATTACCGA